GCCCTTTTTATCTGTTTATGTTTTTTGTGTGAATTGTTTGCCATGAAATTCAGCAGTTCTTTCATCCTCTCAGGGTGTACTCATGGAACCCTTTGTTCATCCCTTTCCAATTAGCCAGCCACCCAAAGGCTAGTTCGCCTCAGAGAGGGAGCTGAGGTCCTGCACCTCCTCGAGACGTTCCAGTGGCAGGACTCCTCTGAGGTAGTGAGGACAAATAATATATATATATATATTTGGTTGCCGGTAGTACTACAGTTTCACACTTTCACTCCCTCCTAGTCATCTAACTGAAGAAGGTCAATGTGCTTTCTGTACTGTCGAGTATCTCTCGTCCGGGAGCAGTCCAGCATGGACGGTCCCTGCCCCGGGGGAAGGACCTGGTGTGGACGTATTGCAGTATCATGGAATACCTCGGCCTCGTCCAATTTGCGAAGTCAGTAGGCTTGTTGACGAATTGGAAACAACCTGTAGACTGAATATATTTCAACATTATAGAATCTCAAGACGGGCTTAGGGTCTCTTTTGAGAGGGGAATGTTTTCGCCTAGTTCGAGATGCCTTTGTGATCGTGTTGGCAGCATCACTGCACCTACCTGGGCGCAGAGGAAGCATAATCACGCGAGCGGCAGGTGCGTTGATGCAGCGGCGTGTGACTGCAACAGCTGGATGCAGCGGCGCCATGCGAAAGTCGGAGGCAGCGTGCGAGAAAGTCTTAGTAACGCCTCATTAGCGACGCGGACGGCTGTTCTTTTGCGCATTGAGGAGAAAACTCGCGGTTTCCACTGCAGCTCACTGGTTAATAGCACGGCCTTTGTCATCATTCAAACATTTGATTCCCGTGTAAATTTTCCATGTAAGGTTTCGTTAATCCACTGTTGCCATTTAAAGCTTTCAGGCTGATTGTCCTCTGTTAAGAACCTGGAATCATGTCTTATATGGAAACTTTACTTGGGAATCGACTCTCTGAATAATAAACAATACATGGAAATCGACTCTGAATGACAAATAAATAAGATTCTGCCTCATTACCTTCCTTATCTTTGTAACTTTCAACGGCTCTTAATACCATGTATCTTCGCTGGGTGGTCGCATCAGCCCCATCTGTATTACCTAGGCTATGGAACCAATAATATACGAATCCCAGATAAACAGTATATAAAAGTAGAATGCGTCAATTTCGGATACCGATAATTTTCCCAAAGGGAAAATTCAAGTATGTAGCCAAGATTTTCTGGATGGATGGTAAATTAATTTTACGCTGGGGCGGGAATGTGGCTTAGGTGAGGCAGGCGGGCAAGATTTGGTCGCAGGGTGTGTTCTCCACCACAGGCGCCAGGCCTTGGACATCCCGCAGATTCCAAGATCTGTTGCGGGCCATTGGGCGAAAAGCGCTGCCGTACTTTTGTATTACGACAACCAAGCCGGACAACGACCTGGCTCTCCTCGGTCCAAACTTTTTAAAACGTTTCTTTTGACAGACTCCCCCCCCCCTTTACTTTGACAAACTTTCTTCCCGCCTACCTTCAGTCATGGCTCCTGTCGACTGGAAGGAATTGTGTAAGGCGGGTTGGCTATTCTGCTGCGAAAGAGAGAGGAGAGAGCGAAAGAGAGAGAGAGAAAGCGAAAGAGAGAGGAGAGAGCGAAAGAGAGAGGAGAGAGCGAAAGAGAGAGAGAGAAAGCGAAAGAGAGAGGAGAGAGCGAAAGAGAGAGGAGAGAGCGAAAGAGAGAGGAGAGAGCGAAAGAGAGAGGAGAGAGCGAAAGAGAGAGGAGAGAGCGAAAGAGAGAGGAGAGAGCGAAAGAGAGAGGAGAGAGCGAAAGAGAGAGGAGAGAGCGAAAGAGAGAGAGAGAGAGAGAGAGAGAGAGAGAGAGAGAGAGAGAGAGAGAGAGAGAGAGAGAGAGAGAGAGCGAAAGAGAGAGAGAGAGAGAGAGAGAGAGAGCGAAAGAGAGAGAGAGAGAGAGAGAGAGAGAGAGAGAGAGAGAGAGAGAGCGAAAGAGAGAGAGAGAGAGAGAGAGAGAGAGAGAGAAAGAGAGAGAGAGAGAGAGAGAGCGTAAGAGAGAGAGAGAGAGAGAGAGCGAAAGAGAGAGAGAGAGAGAGCGAAAGAGAGAGAGAGAGAGAGAGCGAAAGAGAGAGAGAGAGAGAGAGCGAAAGAGAGAGAGAGAGAGAGAGAGCGAAAGAGAGAGAGAGAGAGAGAGCGAAAGAGAGAGAGAGAGAGAGAGAGCGAAAGAGAGAGAGAGAGAGAGAGCGAAAGAGAGAGAGAGAGAGAGAGCGAAAGAGAGAGAGAGAGAGAGCGAAAGAGAGAGAGAGAGAGAGAGCGAAAGAGAGAGAGAGAGAGCGAAAGAGAGAGAGAGAGAGAGAGAGAGAGAGCGAAGAGAGAGAGAGAGAGAGAGAGAGCGAAAGAGAGAGAGAGAGAGAGAGAGAGAGAGAGAGAGAGAGAGAGAGAGAGCGAAAGAGAGAGAGAGAGAGAGAGAGCGAAAGAGAGAGAGAGAGAGAGAGAGCGAAAGAGAGAGAGAGAGAGAGCGAAAGAGAGAGAGAGAGAGAGAGAGAGAGAGAGAGAGAGAGAGAGAGAGAGCGAAAGAGAGCGAGAGAGAGAGAGAGCGAAAGAGAGCGAGAGAGAGAGAGAGCGAAAGAGAGAGAGAGAGAGCGAAAGAGAGAGAGAGAGAGAGAGAGAGCGAAAGAGAGAGAGAGAGAGAGAGCGAAAGAGAGAGAGAGAGAGAGAGAGAGCGAAAGAGAGAGAGAGAGAGAGAGAG